TTATCAGAACTCCTTTACTTAATATGTGGGCACTTCCCAAAGAACTTATGCTCCCTGCCGATCCCATCAATAAATACACTGAGGAATGACGTGAAAGTAATAGTCAATGAAGGAGTTTAAATAGTCTTAGAGATTATCAATACAAGCTAGACATGGAAGGTAAAAAATTTAAACCACAAAGTATGATTAATTACATTGAACTTCAAGATCTATTTTTTTAATTGAATATATAGTGTAATATTCTAAATAGTATGAAGATAAATACATAAAATATACTGAAAATGTTGGAAGTAAATTATAAAAAATTTAAATGGAACAGTTAAAACCAGAGTCATATAAAAGGAAAATGTTAGTAATAATATATTCAAAATGTTACCACAAAAAGGTAAAAAGAAATAATTCAGTTACTTAAAAATAAGGTATTAGGAGATTAAAATAAAAGAAAAGCTTGTTATATTCATAGTTTTCTATCAGGAGCTTCCAGGCTTAAGTAGATTCCATAGCTTATGTTCCCAAGGGAGGAGGGCTCAGGCAGGTGCTAGTCTATAAGATGCCTCTATGAATAAATGAAAGGATCTTGCTCTAAGCATTTGGCTTAGTGAGCAATGGTGCCTTGGAGTGAAGAGAAATTGGTCGCTTCCTCCGTACCAATGTAGCCCATGCTGAGTCTGGGAAAGGCAGACACAATCCACAGGGCTGACAGATGGTGAGCTGGATTTCAGTGATGCTTGACACCTCAGAACGAGCTACACAGCCTTTTACTGCAGCCTCTAAAGCAAAAGTTGGACCTCAACTGAGGATATAAGTAAGCCTTAAGCCTTTATCATGTTATTTGTGAGAGAAAGTAAATGGCTTATTGGACAGCATCCCTGGTGATAACTTTCACTCCCCACGACAGTGCTTAGTTAGGCAAATAAACAGAGGGAAAAAAATAGGAATGAGAAATGGAGCATACCGTACAGTGGGGAAAAAAGGCATTGGTAAATGGAATTCAGTACATTTTGATAGACTATAATGAAAGAACAAACTTTGGATAGCTAAATATAAGATTTTGCATGTCTACCTCTCTTACTGGACTTGAATATCTGAGTAGCAGATGTGTTCTATTCATTTACTTATCTCCATATTTTGTTTAGTGTCTGACACATACTATGTTAATGTTTGGTGACAAGTACTAATAGAAAGGTGAGATAGGTAGGTAGGTAGGTAGGCGTGTGCCTTCCTTCTAGGGTAGGTGAAAGGATTCAAATCATGCTTTGATGATTGCTCATGGAGTTCTATTTTAAACAATTCATAGTTCCATTACAAAATAAATTCTTCATGTGAAATGGTATTTTGAAGGCCTAATTATTTTGGAAATTAGATTTTTATTTAGACTGACTTAGGACCAATTTGGAGTAAAAATGGATAACAGTTCTAGAACTTTGCAACACAATCTGCATAGTTTTTAATTACATTTTGTCCTACTCATTTATCCCCTCATTTAACCAACTTACTGAGTATTTACTATGTGTCATGTGCTACATTGACTCAAGGAGCTCTTACTCTAGTGAATTTGAAAACAAGACAATATATTCAACACAGAGAATACTTCATTAACAAAATTTGAGCACAGTAGCCCATGTGAGGATAGAGGACAGGAAGCTAATTTATCTGGGGACAGAGGGAATCTGGGTAAGGATCCTCAAAAAAAACTGACACAAGTTGAATTATGACTTGTTAGTACTTAGCCAAGCAAAGGAAGCACAGGGAGGAAGGCATTGCAGAGCAAAGCATGCTCACACAAACTCAGAGATGATTGCAACTAAGATGAGAATGATTGGCCAAGAGGAGTGCTGGAAGGGATGGTCCTGAGTAGGGAGGCTGGCACCCACTTGACCACCATAGATTTTCCATGACACAGTAAGGACTTTGATGTTTATCTTGAGACCAGTTGACAACCATAATAGGTTTTAAAGTGGAGGAGTGTCACAATAGGCTTACATTTAAAAAATGTAGCCCTGGCAGCAGTGGGGAGTATAGATTATATGAATGGGAAATTGGGGAAAGAAACATTAATTTATAATAGCAAGTCAGCAATTCAGCTTATGAACTACTAGGACTAGAGAACTACATAGAGTATCCTGGTGAGAAAAATTTAAAGAAATAGAGACAAAGTGTTCACTGATTGATTTTATATGGAATAATACCCTGGCTTCTGACTTGGATAACAGTTAATTTTATTTTTTTATAATGGCATTCACAGAGCTTCAAAACATAGGACAACTAATAGGTTTCAGTGGTGTCTATAAAGAAAGATCATGAGTTTGAGTTTGTATTTAAAATACATGGCGGATATCCAGGTTGGGATGTCCTGTAGACAGTTTGATACAGGTCTTCATTTCAACATAAAAAATAAATTGGAGATATATATATATCATATAGACATAGCTATACATATATGAAAGACAGAGAGAAGATAGTTAAAGTAGTTGGGGATGAGTTTCCTTCCTGTCATCCATTGTGAGTTATTTTGTTACTTGGCTACAGTAGTTACTTGTTACTTCTGCGTTCAGGTCTTATCTTATATTCCAAATCATTCATCTTTACAGTAACAAATGCTACAGCAAAGTCTGTAATCGGCAGAACAGAGATGCTGGTTAAGAGAGAGTGTTAGAATCATTGAAATTTTCCAGTTATATAGGATGTACAATGATTTACACGTGGATAGGACTGGGATTTTAGGTCTAGGACTTACGGATAAGCCATCAACCAGTGCCCAAATCTACTTCCAGAGTACTGATACACCCAACCAACTCCTGCTGCCACAACTGTGAGCTTGGACTGGTGGTCCTCTGACAGCTTCATTGCTTGTTAAGTCCACCCTGACTTACCTGTCTGATTGCTCTGCTGTCTGCTGATCTTCAGCCCATCAGCCTGATTCCCTCCATTCTGGATTGGAGGTTATCAGAATAGATGAAAGTGTGTCATCACACATTTGTTTTGAGTCCCCAGTGTATAACGGATGCTCAAACTCTGTAAGCAGTCTCTTATCAAAAGATATCAAATAGCTAAATGAATTGTTTATAAAAGGAATGGCTTTGACATACTTAACTAACATTCTTTTCTTGTCAAGCCACTGGTATCCATGAAAGCCAATTAATTTATCTGTTAGGTTGAGTTTCCATTAGTCTTAAAAGAACTTTCCTCTAACTTTCTAGAAATTTCTGTTATATACTTAGTAATCAGGTATATTCTGCTACAACTAAAAAATTAAGCATTGCTAAACACATTATTTAACAAAAATAAATGCAGGAGAGCAACAGAATTGAAGACGAAAATAAAAGGAATGATAACATGAAGGAAAGAAGCAGAGGAAATGCCCACACACACAAATGATGTTTACAGTGAAATTCAGAAGGGAAAGATCAGGGGAAAAAGAAATTAAAGAATAAGAACAAAAGGTAAGAGGTGAACATGAAGGATGATACAAGATGACAAAAAGAAGAGGGAAAATCTGCATATTTTGAAGTGAAACACTTGGTTTGATTTTAAATAGCAGAAGCAACAGTTCTGCTCTGACATTAAAAATAAACTGGGTCAGCATTCCTCAGTAGAGACTGCCATCTACATTATCTTCAAAGATAGTTTCAAATATTTTGCTTGGGGAAAAGTCATCTGTTCCAATTTTAGTTCCCATTTTTTGGAATATGTTATCTTAGAGCATTTGAAATAGAATTTCTTCTCTTACTGTTTTTTCTTCTTATTTGCCAATCATAAAAGGGCATATATGCAGTTTTTCACAACCATTTTGCAGGAAAATCTTTAAATCAATTACTGTTATGGCACATAATCAAGAAAGTAAACAACATAGATTTTCCCCTTACTTCTCTACTTAAAATAGAATTCAATATAGATTATTCTGATATGGGAACATGTGTTTAATTTCCAGTATTATTTATGGTAACCCTGTTCACATAGTAAGCATATGAAATAGCATTTCCTCAGTACAGCATCACTTAAAAGTTGCTCTCCCTTTAGAAGGGCTCAGTTGGCCTCTCGTTTGCCTGGATTCATTGCTAGGCTACTGCAATCCTTTGTCATTTGCACAAGGTGATGTGAATCCTTTCCACTAGGCACGTAGACTCTGTCTTAAAAAATGGCATGGATTAGGGCAGGTACACATTAGAAAACTCTCTTGGGAAAAGCGTGATGTTCTCCAGTTTTCTATTAAATAATTAAAGTACACATAGAAGCAGCATTTGAGTGAACAAGAATGTAGAGGTCATTAAAAATATAGTAGAATCTGGAAGGGTGAAGTGGAGACTTTCTGATTGCTCCCCGGGTGATTTGGAAATACGATACAAACATGACTACTAGAAAGATTTGCAGAAGGAAGAGTTATTTATTTACTCTCTTTTCCACTTCCAGGTTCTCAATTAAGAGTATATCCAGATCGTGTTTATGCCATTCTTCCCAAGATGTTAGATAATGGGGAGAGATTAATTAATTAAATCTATTCCTTAATCCAGGCCAACATTCTTATGTATGTATATGTCCTGCAACAGTTGAAAATAAGCATTATACATTTGATAATTTTGACATACAAAAATGTTGTAAGAATTTATATTAGTTATTTGCTATTTCTTATCTACACGTACTGTTTCACAGTTCCTGGAAGAATACTATGTACTTTGTATATTTTGTCATTATCCACCAACCCTGCCCCTCATTACTAATATTTCTTTAACAAGAATTTCCATGGTTTATCATCTAGAGGGCCAAGTATTCAGGAAATATAGTAAACTCTGAGTATAAACAACACTATGATAAACAGAAAAGCAAATGGCCCTGTTATTCTGAAAGATGGTATTTTAGTTTAAGTATTGATAGAACTCCAAAGATATTTTGCTGAGCCTCTGAGGCTCAGAGATGCCAACGAGCAGAAGAAACAATATAAATGCAAAATCTACTGTTATCATACATTCCCCAGTGAAAACCAACTAAAAACAAAAGTTTGATTTACTTAAATATTTAACAAAAATTTATTGCAAGAGATATTTTTCACTGAATTTACAGTTTCAAGGAACATGGTACAAAACATAGTGCCATCAGCTTTGTCTAAACATTAAATAGGTGCAAATACACGAGATTAAAAAGAAACAAAGAGCATACTTTACAACATAAATTACAGTACTATAAATATATTTTATGTACATTATACATACTCTTAAGACATCCTTTTAATATACAGCATATGTTGTATTGATTTTCAAACTATTCAGTGCCTTAATAAGATTATATATCAGAAACTTAGGAATTTATTTGCATACAGTAAACGATTTCATATCAAGGAGGCCATAGTTTGGCTAGTTTATTCCCACCATTTAAATAGGCAATTATCCACTTAGATGAGCATTAATGCATATAGCAATAGTTTTCACATGAATATTTTCTTTCCCTTTCATGGTGAGGACTAGAAGAGGGGCTGGAGTGGGATGACAGCAGGGTGGGGGGAAAGCAGCGAAGGAAAGAGTGCGTGGGGTAAGGGCGGGAAAGCCAGATGGCCGGGATGAAGAACCGAGGCCGGGATGAGCGGCATCTGAGGCGGAGCAACAAAAGCTGGCTGATTCCCCGGACAAAGCCTTGGTCCTACTGGTCCTACTGAGATCTGAGGTAACGATGTTCTGGTGAGAGCTGGGACCTGGGACAGAAACTGTTGGTGCGGCTGAAGCACTTTAAAGGTCCCCGCAGCTGCAGCCGCCGCCGCGGCCGCCGCGGCCGCCGCGTGCTGCTGCAAAACGGTGTGGTGGATGGTGGTTACGGAGGTAGAGCATCCGGGCTGCTGCAGAGGCAGAGGCAGAGGCTGCAGGGGGGCGCCGGGGGGCGGGAGGGCTGCGGCGGGGAAGGTGAGCTTGACCTTGCTGGCCAGCATGTTCGGCGGGATGATGTGCTGGTAGACTTCACACGGTAGATTTCTCAGTTTGTCCTGGTTTTCTATGGGGATCAGCAATGCTTGTTCTGGTAACGCTAACGGAGCCAGGATTTGCTCTGTTGTTACAAAGGTGTGGCCACTGACATGTGCTTCTTTGAATGGTAATGGTGGTTGTGCATTGAGGATTCCTGAATTAAAACACAGCCACTCGGCTGACGCCTCATTCATCTTTCCTTGTGGAAGGGCCTCAGCCAGTTCATAATGGCAAAGGTAGGATTTAGGTTGTGACTGTCTGAAGTTCCTTTCAATATTAGGCACCTTGAAAGGAATCTGCTTTTCATTAATATTTGTACGCTCACTTCTTTCTTTGTGTTCGAGCAAGGTACCGTCGATTTGTACTTTCCTTGGGGCACTAGCTCCACAGGGCTCATTGGAAATCTCTGACAAGTCACCAGAAGCAGTTTCCATTACACGCTCCGTCTCACCACTGGGTTCAGGAGGGGGACTGCTGGGGGGCAAAGCCAGTTCATCTTCTACTTGGTCTATTTGTTCTGAGTTCCTTTGGACATTTGCAATTTCTTGTGGATTTATTTCCTCTTTTTTGTCTTCACTTATTATTTCATCCTGGTGACATAAGGAAGCATGGCCTTTCGTGGGATAATCTGTCTTCTCTTTGAGTTCCAAAGCTTCCAAACCGGTGTGGAATCTGCTTCTTTTTCTTCTCCGTTTTCTTTTAGGTTTACGAGGAGCAGCAGCACGGGGTGGCCTCACAAACTCATCTGGTAGATAATTCTGTCGATTTAAACTTTCATCTGAAGAATAAGAATGTGAATGCTGTCTACGTTTTCGATGGCATCTTTCTGATTCACTAGTGAGAGAATTATAACCTCTTTTAACAGCCTGGTTCTGACTCATGCATTTCATATCATTTTGAAGAACTAGGCATCTGTGATCATGACTGCAGTTGGACATTTTGGCTTTCCAACTGCAGTAAGTTCTGGAGAATGTTAAATTATGTTTCCCCGAATGTATCATCGTTGAATTGGATTGTCCATGTAAAACAACTGAGTTCTTTTTACTGTGGTTTTTAGAACTGATAACATCATTACTATTGTATTCACTGTTCTGAGTTTTACACATTTCATCATTTTCACTTAAGTAAATGGATGCTGATTTGGGCCTTTTATCAGGTAACTGATGTGAGTCTGATAATTGGTCCGTAGCTAAATACTGCTTTTCTGAAATTGTTTCCAGTAGATTTTTCCTAGTTGTGTCAGTATAACTATTTTCTGTTTCCATTTTAATGTGAGTTTCTGACTCTTTGATTTTCTCCCCATAATGATGGTGGCATAACTTTCTTCTTTTCTTCTTCCTTCTACTTTTATGGAACCAGTGTTCATGAGTATCTTTTTGTTTTATTTTGTTGTATTTGTCATCTAGAGCATCCTGTTTTATCTGATTTTTAGTAAAAGTGTAGTTTTTTGTTTTTCTGATCCTACAGGAAATATTTTTATACCTCTGACCTATACTCTTATTTTTCCCAGAATCACAGCTATTGGACAGTGTATCCTCAGCCAGAAGAGGAGTGACTTGGGTGTATTCATTTCTGCTACCTCCACTTTCATAATCAGTGAGTCCGGCAGTGGATGTGTCCTTGCAGTCCACAACTGGTCTCTTGTAAATGTCTTCTCCCTTCTGCTGAGAATAAAGATTACTGAAGGGCAGCTTATTTTGATTTAGATTGTGGTTTAATCTAGTGGACTTGAAGTCAAAACAGAGAGGATTACAGCTATAGGAAATTGATGGTTGAGTCGATGTGTAAATCAGCATTTCCGACGGCCACTGAAGAACCGTGGATCCATCTTTGTTAAGGACGGGCACAAATGGCTCACATGGTCTTTTATATAAATCTGTTTTTTTCTGTAAGTTTACGTTATCCTCTTCAGAATTTGAAGGGGCGGACATCTCAGGGCTGTGATTTTTATTTTCAACTTCAGTTGTGGATGCATCATGGTCCTTACTAGTTTCCTCTGTGGTAGCTTGCAAAGATAGGCAGTCATTAGCCATATTAAGAACCATGGATTCATTTCCTAGAAATTCAGAACTGTTACCACTTATAGGCATGCCTTCATTAATGATTACATCTTTCAGTGGAAGGTGATCTGCTAAGGGGACTGAATTTTGACAATTACCTGCATCAGATGATAAAGGGAGTTGAAACTGGCAAAATGGAGGTAATGACAGTGTATCTTTTTCACTAGAAACATCTTTCATCTCTGGAGTTTGAGCAGTTTCTTTGTCAGTGCACAGTCCTTCTGGTGGATGAAAAGAGTTCACTTTCTCCTCAGAACTCAAAAGCGCGTCTGTTGGTGAAGATAGTTGAAGATGACAAACACCAGGGACAAATCTACTTTTTCTGCTAAATCCTTTTTCCACAGAGGCATCATCATTGTATTCAGAGAAGGCTGCAGCTGAGGACTCCAGCTTCACGGATGCTTTCTTTGGAAACGCAAAAGAAAAGCCAATTTTGTGTCTGTGAATTCCCTTGGCTTGATCTCCAAGTTGGTTATTTTTGGCAGGAGAACTATTTGCACTTTCTGCATCTGCAGCCACAGTGGTAACATCTTTAGCGTTCTCTTGACTATGAATCAAAGTGCATTTGAAATCTTCCTGGTTATTAACTGAATCCACAACAACTCTTTGGGAAATTTCATTACAATTTTCTTTCACAGTAACAGTTGTTGACTTGAACATGGGGCCACTTCCAGGAGCACTACAAAAAGAAACAAAAGTGTGTTTTCAGATAGGACACTTTTGAGGCAAAATATGTAAACACTTACATCTTGGAAATGTCATTATAAGATTTTTTTCCCAAGTTTTTAAACGTCTGTAAGTTAATTACTTTCATATAGTGCAATTGCCTTCCATAGTACCACAGTTTCACTTAGTTATTGGTGATTGTTTGTGATAACTCAGAGATGCCATCCTAAGTGGCTTTTATAGCTATTAATGGCAATGGTCAAAGACATCTGTATTCTCTCAGCCAGTTTTCCAGACCAAGATTTTTTACCTCCATGACCTTTTCAGGGACATTCTGGAGTATAGAATTCTCTAACATAAAATTACTTTTAATTCATAAATACTTAACATGACTGATACTACATAGAGAATATGAAGGAAATTAAAGAAAAACTCTCAATCATGATGTAAGCAGGGCTGGGTGTTCAGTTCAACAATTCAGTTCAACCAGTGCTCAGTGACAGTCCACCATTGGCCAGGTGATACACTCAATGAGAGCTTTGAGTCTTTTGGAGTTACTATTCTTAATATTTTAAAATTACCCTGAAGTTATCTTTTATATCATATATAAATATAGGATAAAAGGCTACTTATTTAAGATGCGATTCCCATTCATTTGACATTACAGTATCCCATTAATAGTGAGTTCTTATTCAAAGAACTATACCAGCATATAAACAGAGCACTACCTAAATATTATCTTTATCCCGACAGAATCATGCTGTGCAGAATCTTTGATGCTTTTCTAAAAAGTCAGTTTCCCAGAAGTTATAAAGCCCAAAATCTTTTTTAATCAAGTAATTTCTTTAATTGCTAACACAATGGACTGTTTCATTGCCTAGTTTGGTATTAAGAAACAACACTATTTCTTAGTTTGCACCTCTTTAAAGACACTGAATTAATGTGAAAACCGTGTGTGTGTGTGTGTGTGTGTGTGTGTGTGTGTGTGTGTGTGTGTAATGTGACATATGTACTGTATGCCAAGAAAAGTAATTTAGGTATTTTGCTTCTTTTGTACATGTCTTATTAACTATAGTTCTCTCAATATGTTAGAATTTATAATTGCAAATGCTACTTATAGGACATGAAATTACCTAGGTCCTATGATTCTCTGAAATGTAAACTTGCACTTGTATAACTTTTAATTTATCACTATACAGAGTAAAGATTGAGTCTGGTTAGTATAAAATAGCAGTTACGTTTGATTTTAATAGTTCACTATACAATTCCAAATATATTTAAATTTCATTTTGATTTTTTCCAAATTTGACATATCAAACAACATTTTGATATATCAATATCCTTTTACATTATCCTGTATAAAGTAAATTTGGTATAAAATAGCTTTGTTTTAGACAATCATCAGAGAGGCCGATTTAATGGTGCAGGGGGCACTCAATAGGGTGGTCTTCTTTTCATTCTATTGCCCTGGCCTAATTGTTAAGTTCTGATTTATAACACTATAGCTGCTCTCTGTTAGAAGCAGGACAAAGTGTAAAAGTTGTGAACTTTTAACAGTCCAGATAGAGTTCATTCACTGTGAAACTAATGTTGATCTGCTTCTGACATGCACAGAGTCTTCCTAACCTTGTGAGTGTATCTAGATAGATAGATAGATAGATAGACAGACATATATATGTCTATATATATATATTCTTAAAGATAATTTCAAATAAAAGTTCTCCAAATTTTCAATTAAAAAGTAAGTTCCTCTTAAACTCCATTTATAACAAAAGCCATGAGATAGTGCTTTGATCTCTTCTTCAGTCAAATGTTCTGAATTGCACTAAGAAATAGAATAGCTTTCAACTAAGATAGCTTAAATAGCAGAATAATGTAATTTTTTTTTGCAAACTAAAATTATAGCCATTTGGCTTTTTATTGAAATGTGCATTAAACAGGTGTTTGCATAAAATTCAAATTCAATTTACTGTTTATGGCCCACAGAAAGCCATGAAAATGTGAGTGTCTTATTCTGGGTACAGAAATAAATAGATTTGTACCCTTTATTTGGTTCCTTTTTTTGTTGTTGTCATGTTTTAAGAAAACTTAACATTTCACTGCACACTCACCACACAGTTTCCTTTCTTAGTTCGGCCAGCTTGTGCAGGCGTTGGAGTGCCTTTTCCTGTTTTCTTTCATCTTTCCTGGATTTAGATGCTACATTTCGAGCAAATTCCCTTTGTTTCAGTTCTTTGAGCCTCTATTAAAAAACATGAAAATGATTAACGTTATCTGAGTCTATGGCAATGTCAAAGTTACTGTTGTTGTTGGAATATTCCAACACATCATCTAAGGAAAACACAGCATTAGCAAACCACTTCTAATAAAATATTTTCTTGCACTTTTGGCTTGTAAAAAAATGCCAGAACATATTATCATATTATATTAAAAGGTATACTTATGTCTTAGGTAAATTGGGATGGAAAACCTTCATTTTTGCTTATTGATTGTTTCCTGCTAAGGTTCTCTGCTTAATTCAGATGAAGTTTTGGTCTTATAAACCCCTAATTTTTAAACAAATTCAATTAGCTTGTGTATTTCAGTTATATACAATAAATTCCATTATATTTGATGTGCTCTATATTAGAAAGGTATCTGACCCTTTTCATATTTTTTAAGAGTAAGTATCTTACGTTAATTCATGTGGCAAATGCCTTCTACTAATGTGATTTAAAACAATCCTTCCCCTCAAATATCAGGCATATTTCCCAAATAATTCAATCTGAGAGGAAAATTAATAGTATTTTATGTAAATTCTTTTCATATTAAGCATATTTTTCATCTGTACTAAAGGAGCTCATTTGGTGGGGGTGGAAGGCCAGGAAAAGAACGTGGCAACTTGAATAGAACTGATAAATAGCCATATATGTGGCATGATTAATGGACACCAAGGTGGTCCCATGCCCCAAATATTTTCACCATAGTCTTTTACAGAGACAGTGTGTAGTTACTGAAAATGATTAAAGTATTGTTTTTTCTTTTTCATTTTGTTAGGCAATCATGATACGTCAGAGTCTTAGAAAAGGACTCTTAAGAGACTACAACATACACTAATAACATCTTAATGAAATGGTTGAACAAAGTGTTCATAAATGTCTTGTACATATGTATTGATGCAAGCCAGGGTCTTAGAATAATGCCTAATGTAGAAAAAACCTGCTCAATAAATATTTGTTGATTTATGTGGGAATCACTTACAGCCTCCAAAGTAGTTTCCTACTAGAAAAAAAGTTAGTCATGCTGATGAAAGAGTATTAGATTCCTGTTCATCCTAATTGTACATGCTTAATTTCACCTACATAAAACCATAACTTCAACTTCAAGTAATCTCTAATATTTTAATAAATTGGATTTTATAAGGTATGTAGATATATATAAGCATATATATATAAGAGATTACTCTAGAATAATTATTTTAAAATAAAACAAAAATATTTTGAGAATGATCATTTGCATTGACATGTTTGTGGGGGAGTTTATTTAGAGTTGAATTTAGATAAAAGATAGACCATATCATAAATATCTCAATTGTCTCATTATTTTATAGAAAGGAAAACTTTGATATCATTACACAGATATGATGATTAAAAGTAGCTACATTTTTATAATATAATTAAATTATCTATTGATTATTAAATTATGTAGAATTAGAGTATAATAGGGCAAACACATTTTAATTTTAAATTTTAGATATTCATAGTCTTGACAGTCATCTCTGTTTCCTAAAACCTGTCACATCAAGACTCATTTAACAAGTTATTGAGCACAAGCAACAGTCACTCTGTTAAGGCTGGGATATTTTAAAAAAGGGTAAATAAAACATTTTTACCTTTATCTGGCATGTATGGGCAAGTGTGTGAGTGTATGCTGATATGCATGTTGAAGAAGTAGGGAGAGAAGACACACAGGAAGAGAGAATGGCAGTGAGTGGCTGAAGGATTCTTATTGTGCCATCTGAGAACAGAGGTGCCCTCAAAAATTCCAAGGAAGGCTACCTGGGAAAAGTGACATCTGATCTGGGTCTTGAAGAATACAAAAAAGCATGAAGAAGAAGGGCTGGATGTTGGAAGTGGGAGGACAGTTCAAGGAAAATAAAACAGTTTTGTATAAACATAGAAATAGGAGCATGCACATTCTTAAAAAAGAAGTATGGCTAGAGCAGAGTGTATGTGTGGAAATAATGAAAACTGATGAATTATGGGGTCCAACCAAATCATGGAGAGCCCTGTCTATCATATTACTAAATGTGACAGTAGGAAACATTGAAGGACTTTAAACAATGCAATGCCACAATAGGATTTTCATTTTACTAAGATTCTTTTGGTATCAGTATGCATGAAATTTTGCTGTGAAACAAGATTAAAGACCAAGCCACCAGTAAATAGGATAATACAATGACCCAGGAAAGAAACCTTAAGAGCCTTTTTCTAAGGGAGTTGTAATGGAAAGAAAAAGTAGAATTGGTGATTTATTGAATATGCATAATTGAGTTACCTAAAGGATATGCATTACCTTTACTGAGAAATATCACTTGCCATTGTAAGAAAGAGATACTCAGTCAAGAGAGGGTTTATGTTAGGAGGAGGATGCTAACAGAATTTGAAGAAAGTGGAAGATAAGTTCAAATAAACAAGAGAATCAAAATGCAAAGTGAAATAAAGCAAGAAAGTTGCAATACCAATGAAAGAACTATTATTTTAAAGATTTTTTTAAAAAAATTTATTCATAAATAGTGATACTTTAATGGGTAGACATGACTTTTTCCTACTAGATCCTTTGGGAAACTGGAGGCAACCAATAAGAAAGATGGACTTGACTATTTTTAATAAACTCTTTAGAATAAAAGTTAATTTCTATTATATAAAAATGCATATATGTTCCAGTTAAGATTTGCTTTTTGTTAGAAGCATTATATTTTCTTCCCTAGAGCAAGTATATGAAATGCCAAGAATTTCACTATTTATTGTTCCAAATTAACCATTATGATTTGACTTAATCCATTTCCACTGACATAGCAGTTAAATATCAAGGAGTCTGTCGATTATCAAATGCCAGCACTGTTGTGTTATCTGTGATATAACTGAGTGATTGACATGGCTGGAATCAACCCCCAAATGCTGATTTATAGAACTGTGTATATTTAGTTTGGGGGTGGGGTGGGGGGAGGGAAGTAATTAGGTTTATTTATTTATTTATTGTTAACGGAGGTACAGGACCTCATGCATGCTAAGCACCACTCTACCACTGAGGTATACCCTCCCCTGCTAGAGAACTGTGGACATTCAGAACTGTGTACACTAGAAACATTTTTTGCTTTCTGTACCCACAACTTTATGCTTTTCTTGCCTAGAAGTCTTAGGTCCAAGTTGCAGAATAATTCTGCCAGGAGACACATCAATTATGCCAGTGAACTAGAAGTTAAATCTGCTACTTTGCCACTTTGGGCTTCTCAGGCCACCAAATCAACAGGCAAAGAAGGGAGCTGCTGTGTGGGATGAGATGATTGATCCTGATTATCGAGTGAACAGAGAACTGCTATACCACAATGGAGGTAAGGAAGATGATGTCTGGAACACAGGAGATCCCTTTTGGTGTCTCTTAGGGCCATGCCCTGTGGTTAAAGTCAATGGAAAACTCTAACAACCCAATTCAGGCAGTACTACTAATGACCCAGAATCCCTCAGGAAGGAGGGTTTGGGTTACTTCACAACGGAAAGAACCGTGACCAGCTGAGGTGCTTGCTGAGCTCAAAGGTCACGTACAGTGATATAAAGCAGTTATGAATACCAACTATGACCACAGGACTAGTTATAGGAATGAGGACTGTAATTGTCATGCATATTTCTTCCACATTTTATTATGAAAAAATACGTATTTTTTTCTTTCCTCCTTTATTCTCTTATCATACAAGATGTACTGAATTTACATCATGGTATTTAAGTTATAAGATACCGAAGAGAAGAATGAACATCACCCAACTACATCCTGTTCTGGGGAACAAGTTAGTTTATTTTCAGTTGTATACAGCATAGTTGTATCATGTCAGGCAGCATATTACTTATTGCTGTCTTTATTTGGAGATTATGTATCATTGAGGAAATGTCCATAGGTGCCAAATTGACAAGGGGTAGACTTGTGATGGCTAATTTTACACGTCAACTTGGCTTGGCCAAGTTACCCAGACAGTTAGTCAAACACCAGACTAGATGTCACTATGAAGGAATTTTAGATGAGATTCCCATTTAAATCAGTACATTTTAGATGCTAGTCCCATCTAAAATTATTTTTAACATTAAATCACATGAGTAATCGGATTTACTCCTTAAATCTTAGTAAAGCAGATTACCCTCCACAATGTGGGTGGTCCTCATTCAATCTGTTGAAGGCCTTAAAAGATAAGACAAGTCCTCCAGTTAGAAAGAATTATGCTTCCAGACAGCCTTTGGAATTGAGACTGTAACATCAGCTCTTTCCTGGGTTTCCAACCTGGCAGCCTTCCCTGAAGACTCCGGACTTGTCAGCTCCTACAATTGTGAGTAACTATTCAAAATAAGTCAATAGATAGACAGACATATAGATAGATATAATATATGTCCTATTATCTTCCTGTCTCTGGAGAACCCTGATTAATACTCTGGTTTCCACCAGAGGATAGGTAGTCTAGTTATGATGTTTGTGGTGAACAATGCAAATTGCTTTCCCATTGTCAATTACATCCTTCCAATTCATTAACAGAATTCTAATTTTGGAAGGGAAATTAATAAAAATTTCAGCTTCCCTTGTACATAAGAGTGGATATATGACACAGGTCTCACTAATTTAACTGTAAGCAGGTGCCTCTGAGGAGGATATGCCTAAAAAAAAAAGGTTTCATTAAAGAAAAATTCTTTATTTTTTTTTTAAGCATTTTTTCCCCTTTCCTACCCACGTGATGTGTTATCGGGAGTCTTAGATGGGGAGCAACCATCTTTCAATTGCAAGGCCGTCAGCTTGGCAGAGAAGGCCTAGATGCTAAAGATAGCAGAGCAAAAACTGAGAAGAGCCCCGTCCCCTAATAGCATCGTTACATTACTGCATTATCCTAGGACTGATTACCTATGTAGTTGAACAAAATAAATAAAAGCCAGCTTTATCCGAGTTTATTTTCATTTGCTGCTGAATGTGATCTTAGCTTATAAACCCACTTACTGGGTGTGTGAC